TAAAAGTTACTTTTCTTTTTCTCTCCTCCTCCTCCTCCTCCCAGAATGGGGGGAACAGCTGCCGTGTGCGCCAGGAAGTGTTACTGCTAAGCTGCACTGCGCTGCAGCAGTTTCACAGGTGATTAATCAGCACTGGCCATTTAGTCAGCACCATGTTTGGAATCCTAAACTTCTGACTGGGCAAGGCTGATTAATCACCTGTGAAGCTGTGCTGCTACGCAGTTTAGAGGGCACCCAGACATGGCTTGCTTTTAATCCCATTCTCCGGAAGCTAAGGGAGTGTGAGGAAAGTGCTTGCATGCCATGCATGCCTCTTATGCCTGGCTGGTGTGTGAGAGGCATGCATGGGATGCTGGTGTGTGAGAGGCATGCTCCCTTAGCATCCAGGGGAACAGGATGAAAAGCACGGCTGCTGCCCTCCCATGCCCCCAAAGTTCTGCCCTTGCCTAATACCCTCCCGAAATTCCACCCTTGAGGAGTTGGCAGCTCCAGAGCTCCCTTGCGCAGAGAGCCCTCTTGCTCAGTGGATGGGCAATGGACGGAGGGGACAGGGGGTGAGGAAGCAGCATGGGCGAGCAGCAGCCAATGGGACCTGAGAAGCTCCATACCTTGTAGTCTGCATGTCCCTTAGCCCGTGTTGAAGCTGACAGGCTATGACTGTATTCTGGAGTCAGCTTATGTACGGGTCAGTCACTTTTTACCATTTTTTTTCTCTTTTGAATAGGGTTCCCAGGTGTCGGGTATTGATCCGGACAGTCCGGTATTTTCACCACCTGTCCTGTATAAAAAGTTCAGAAAATACCGGACACCTAAAATGTTGAGTATTTTCTGATTTTTTTTTTCCCCTGACCAGGAGGTGAAAATACAGGGTGCTTACCTGATTCCGCAGGGGAACTGTCTGGCCCAGAGCAGGGAGACAAGATAGCGAATGGCTGCTGGCAGTCTGTTTGGGCCAAAAAGCCTCAAAAGCATTTCTTAAAGGGACCAAGCTGGTCCTTTAACGTATAAAAAGTTCAGAAAATACCGGACACCTAAAATGTTGAGTATTTTCTGATTTTTTTTTTCCCCTGACCAGGAGGTGAAAATACAGGGTGCTTACCTGATTCCGCAGGGGAACTGTCTGGCCCAGAGCAGGGAGACAAGATAGCGAATGGCTGCTGGCAGTCTGTTTGGGCCAAAAAGCCTCAAAAGCATTTCTTAAAGGGACCAAGCTGGTCCTTTAACATTTTTTTATTTTTTTGCTCAACAACTTCGGTCTCCCCCTTCTTTTTTCCTCATCTGAATGTTTTCCCTGGTTGTTTTTTCCCCTGTTGTTGGGAAGGGGGTGTGTGTGTGTGTGTGTGTGTGTGTGTGTGTGTGTGTGGGGGAGGGTGTGTGTGTGGTGTGTGTGTGTGTGTGTTTGTGGTATATGTCACCTCTCTCTATGTATTTTTGGTTAAACCATCTGGCAACCCTGCTTTTGAATATGTCACCTCTCTCTAGCCATTCAAAAGCTATTAGAGTGGTGGGAAGAGTTTAGTTGGGATAGCAAAAATGGCTTGTTTGGGGGTTCTGTGAAATTTTAATAGATTGAAAAGGGGTCCGTATGCCTGAAAAGGTTGGGACCCACTGCATTAAAATAATCCTAAAACACGTAGAAATTGATCTCCTGAAATGTCTTGAATGAGCTCTCCCCCATTGTTTGTCCTAGTACAGCTTTACAAAATAGCAAGCATTCCTGAAGGGAACTGTTGGCTATATAATTCTTATGCCCTAGATTCTGTTTGTTACTAAAGATGTAGGTTGCTTCATCATTTTGAATTGCTAAGTAGGGAATTTTAATAAAAATTTTGAAAGCAATTGTTCTTGAAACATCCTCAGTTGCAATACTATCATGCTGAGAAATAGTGTTTGACAAACCTGTTGTATTTGGTTTGGTGGTTCTTGGGCCCTCTACAATTTTTGAAAACATATTTGTTGTATGGGATGCATTTTTCTGCAAGATCACACTACTGTGGAATTGGCAGATACACAAGGTATCTGAAAGGTATTCTTGCTGGCATCCGTAGTTTGACTTAAAACAACAAAGGTTCAAGTTTTGCTAGGAAAAAAAGCAAGTTTATATTTCCTTGGGGATGACCTTATTTTTGAAAATTACATCTTCAAAGACTTTTTGTCAGCTAACACTTCAGCAGACCTACTATTGTTTCTAAATAATTGATGTAAAGTTGTATGCTTTACTTAATTGTTTCTGCATTTTTCTTTGATTTGTCATTGGAACATCTTGCCACTGTCCATCTGTGCAAAACAATTAATTTTTCTGAGATT